GGTACACCCTTCACAATCCAAAGCAACACAATCAAGGCAAAGAAGATGCCTACAGGGTGCAATCACAGGTAAACGACACCATTCCCCACACCTATACAAGCATTCTTTCATTAATAAAACAAAAACAAAACATTGTGAAAGAGTCGGCATGAATCAAAGTGGAATAATACCTAGCACAGTTCCCGCCATAAAGAAGATTATATTTTATAAAAGAATACTCCTGTGACATAGGATCCAGACCATCATCAACAAGAATATCCATGGTTTCCTGAATATCTTCCCCAGCTTCTGCAACTTTAATATGTCCAGCCACGCAGCAAGATAGTCTGATGTTCTTGATTGTTGTGCTTCGAGATTTCCATTGCTTCGGATTCAATAAACTTTCAATATGAGAAGGATCATTCCAGTCAGCCATCAATATATTACGCCGCACTGTAACTACAAGTTCATTGTAACTTCGAGCATGCTCTTCTGTAAAATTTAGGTATTTTACTTTCTTGATGCAAGGAGGGATGGATAGTAAGTCCGTCTTTCTTGCACTAATCATACACCTACGAAGTAAGTCTAACAAAAGTAACCTTCCTTCCTCCATTTCTGCCTCAAAAGGTCTAAGTATACCAGCCTCCCATGACTTATGATTCTGACCATAGACTTCTTCATGAAGAAACCTAAGTAATGGTTGAAGATGTGAAAGCTGACTATTAGGTGTGCTAGGAGTTGGAGTTCCTGTTAATATCCAGCGATTTGAAGATATCAAAGAAACAGCCATTTGCAACTTGTTTGTTAAGTTAAGACTAGAGCCAAGGGTGTGCCCTTCATCTAAAATGACCCTATGCCAATGCACTTGCATTAATATACTTCTCTTCTGTGGCCCCCATTCTGCACTTAACCGACTAAACGTGGTAATGATAACATCATGATCCCATGCTAGACAATGTGCAGATGGTTTTCTATGATCAGTCCATACATAAACCAGTAACTGACCAGGTCTGACATGTTTTTGAATTTGAGTCTTCCAGTGATCAACTAGATTTGATGGAACAATAATCAGGGTTGCTCTTGATAAATATAACCGAACTGAATCGAGTGGCTCAGTCAATGCAGTTTTCAGAGCAGCAACATCAAATGCCAAGTTGTGAAGATTATGCGGGTAATACCATCTGATAGTGCCTTTTTCCATTTTTCTTACTAAACCAAATGCTTCGAACATTTTATGAAAAGCACAGGCATCACTACCAGGAACCACATAAGATGCTAATATAGGACTTCTTAAACCAGTTGTTTCCATTTCTGAAATTTTTTCAGGAGCTAGATTAGATAACCAAGTCAAGGCTCTCTTTGTTCCAGAATTTATCAGTGCCATGTTTTCCTTGAGCACACTGGTGAAGAACGAAATATTTTTCTCCTCACCTCCAGAAGTTTCTTTGCTGTAGAATCCTGGAATATTAGTAATTGGACGGCACTTGTCATAAGATTCTTCTGGAACACTGCAACTTTGGTAAAAAGGATCAGTATTCATACTACAAAACCAAGCTGTACTAGCATCAGCTATAGAAGTTTCTGAAAGCTTCCGCCACTTGTGACAAGCATCACACTGAACCCATGTGTCCTTTTATTCGAATTTATCTGCAGTGGTTGTCTCAGGCACCTCATAGTTGTTTGTGAATCCATTAGACACACCAGCTCTCTTTGCCCCAGCAGCCAACTTCCCTGTCCGTGTTCTTGTTGACTTTTTACCAGTATTCAGGTGTCTGGAAAGGCTAGATGCTCCTTCATACGTGAGAAGAAGATTTCTCTCGACACTACTCAAGCTCCTAGTGCATCGAACCATTTGAACTGCTTTTGCATAGTCTGTAGATGATGGAGATATCATCTCATTGCTAGCACATGAATCATCAGTTACTGTATGTCTGTCATCCAAAGTCGTCAGCCTTGCCCTTTTAGGTGTATGATATGTTAAGTCCTCCATTCCTTTCAGAGAACTACAGCCCACAGCTTCCTTCACCAATAAATGGTTGGTGCTAGTATTACTATTACTGCTAACCTCGTAGTAACCACATTTACGGTTGCCATTATGTGTGCACCAAACAATTTGTACTCCAGGTGGTGGTTCTGCTAATGTTCCCTGAGTCTTTAAGATAAGGGACAGTGCAGTTATTGTCTTTCCTAAGCCAGGTTCATCACAGAAAAGCCCTCCACGAAAATCAGTGATAGCTGGGGTCCCCAGAGTGACTATTTCACCAGTAACGGTATTTATGTGGAACGAAAAACCATCTTCTGTTGAAAAAGGTACATATAAAGGATGGTAGAAAACTTCAGCATTCCGCTCACGGCGTAACATCCATTCAACAGCTGCCTGCTGGTGAGGATACAACTTGAGTTTCATGCATGGCATGATTGATGCAGATAAGGATCTCAGATGGTGGCAAGTTGAAGCAACCCTAATAAGATCCAAAGGGCGAAGAGCTTTCATTATATTAATCAGAACGTCATCTGATATGTCCCATATGCCTGATTGAGAATAATCATCCTCTGGTTGTATTCTCGTATATTCAGGTTTGCATGACCTAAGAATACTCGGTAAGCTTCTAAATATTTCATGAAGTTCAAAGAGCCTTCTATTTGAAGAACCTCCAGGACTATTGTGCAATTTGCAATTGTGGACATGACATTCTGCGGGATTCCACACGCTCTTCCTAACCATATCTGCAACTTGAGAATGATCTTTTCCAACGAGTATAGAGCTTCTTTCTTGCCATTCACAACTGAATGCATATAGGATAATAAACTTAAAACATTTCATCTAAAACAAAAATTCATTAAAAGGGCCATTTATAACTGAAAATACATACAATAATCAACTCACAACATTTGTATGAAACAAAAATCCATTACAAAAAGCTAACAGAAGTAGGAGTCTAAGATCCTATTTAACAGATGAAAAAAAATAAACAAATAAGAATGAATAGACTATAGATTACAACTTATACCAATCTTGATTCTTGCAAAAACTAAAAAAAAAAACATTTTTTTTTTCACTGCTTGGTCTCTAAACAAATAAGTTGCCAAAACGATTATTAGAAATTAATAAACGAATAAGGGACCAAAACATCAAGAACTTTCAAGTTTGTCTCCAAATCCTTTCATTCCTTCCCTTTTAAGAATGCAATCACTAGGGCGATATCTACAGGTCCGATCTTCTTTAAATTTAAGAATTTTTCACAACAATACCACTCCTTTTAAGTACCTCTGCGAAGGATTCTAGCCTAAAAAGATCTGATTTCTCAATCAGGTAAAGGCTACTGAGAATATTATCAGAGAGTGAAATGAATTGTTACTTCGGGTGTCCATAGAAAGGAGCTATTGATGAAGAAGATTAATGTACATATGCACAAATTCGAAGAAGAAAATTGTTTTTGAGCAAACAAGATTTGTGAAGCTGGAGTCGATGGAGATGAATGCTCAAGATAACCAATAACGATGCAAGAATCCAGGATTAGATAGATTAGATAAAGGGAATGAAGACTCTACTTTTTTCACCAACATGAGCTGTCTATACATTTTATGAAGGGATTATATGGCTTTATGGAGGGAGTTACAACTTATATCAGTTCTCTAAAACATTTTCAAGAAGCTATTGTATAGAGGTTCCTTAATTGGAAAATAAATAATGTCATTCATGTGGATAGATAGTTTTAACATACTCAAGTTCTTTGGTTGGACAAACGATAGCCTTTTTGAGCGTCAATCTGATTATTCAAAAAAGAAACATAACCACTAGCCACTCGAGTTCCTCTTCAACATTGACTAATGAAATATGTTCATGAAAGTCACTGACAAGTACGAACCCAAATTCAAACTCAGCCGAAAAAAATAATCGAATGAACTTAAAGTAATCCATCACCTCAAATGCCTAAATAGCGCACCAGCAACCGTCTTGGATCTAGGAAACTGCCAACCGGACCACAATTCAACGGGAAGATGAACATCAACCAACAACACAGCTCGGGCCTCCTCATCAACGCCAATGTCAACAAAAATCACCTGCGCGTCAATCTTCAAGCACTTGTGCACTACCAGAGCGTGAATTTGATGCACAACGCTCATGCTGCCATGAACCAGCCCCATCCTATTCGTCCTCTTTTTCCCCGAGGTCCTACGTCCTCTCGCAGACATCTTGCGCTTCAGAGTTAAATCACCATTCTCCACCGTACTAGTTCCCTCTCCACCTACCATCCCCCTACATTGCTCGGAATCTTGAGGCGAAACACCGGCCTTGGAGAGCGGTTTGGGGTTTGCTTCAATCGGAGTAAGCACGACACCATATTCGGAAGTAAAACAAACATCAGAACACTCAACGGAGACATAACAACGCGTACCTGGACGTAGAGCATTCACCAGTTCGGACTGCGGCGAAGGAACGGCAAGAACCACACACAAGAAACCGCAGAGCTTGTAGTCAGAGAAGTCGTCGTCGTCCATAAGAGAAGAAGCTTGGATTGAAGTGATTACGGAGATTGGATAAATCAGAATTTGAAAATTTTCGCTTGTTGATTGCTGTAAAGTAGACTACGGGCGTCCATTGTTCGAAGCGAAGACCGCCATGGGAATAGCAGCAAGATTGGTCAGAAGGAGAAAAAAATAGCGGTTTCTAAAGCTTCTGTTGGCTTTCCTTTTTTATTTTTTATTTCTTATTTTTCCTTTTCTAATTTTCATTGGGTAAGAATGTGGGCCCCCTCTGGAAACTCTCTGCGGCTAATTATATAATATTCTTTTTATGTTCAATAAATTTAATTGCATAATTTTCTCTCAATATAATTAAATTCTTTATTAAAAATAATACAAATGTGATTTTCCAATTTTGGTCTTTTTATTTAACTATTTTTTAAATAATTACGTGAAAATTTTATATTTTTTTAAATAAAGTATAATATTTATGGGTGTTTTTATTAATTGAGCCTAAAATTTAATTGTAATTTTATTTATTTATTTATTTAAACCACGAAATGAAATTAACCTTTGTAGAAAGTCGTCACCCCTTCTTTCGCCTTATTCTTGTTCGTCGGGCGTTCACAGCAATCGGTAGTCGTCGTTTCCTCTCGCCAGGTAAATTCCTCCGTCGCTGTTCGATTCACTTCGTCGTGTTCTTTGCTGTTGTTGATTCTGTTTCCCTTTCGTTCTGCAACTCTGTGTTCATTTTCTTCTGTATCAAAGCTGTCTCCATCTATGCATCCATCCGCCATCTCCATTCCACAGGCTCTCTCTCACTTGCTTCGTTTCGGTTCTATTATGCTTTCTACTGTTCTCATCCTTCTGATATCATGTTTGTTCCTATTCAATTTTGGAATCAGCTCTGCGTCCATGACTTCTAATTGGAAGCCAGCTCCCATTTCTCGGTCGGATTCCTTACCGATATCCCAAGAATCAATCGTTCTATCACTTTTTTCACTGATTTTGATTGATTTATTAAATTTTTGTTAGATATCTCAATGATACAATGTTTTTTTTTTTTTTTTTTTTTTTTTTTTTTTTTTTTTTTTTTT